TTCACACCTCTGCCTGGAACCAATGAACCCTGTCCTGTAGCTCCACCTATCTGCCGTTCCCAGTGTAGCTTTCTCACCTGCATACTTGTAGCCTCAGCTTTCCTCTGCCCTTTCACAGACCCAGATCCCAGTATTTCTCCAGGCCCAACTCCAGTGACTACTAGGTAGTTTTTCCAGGCCCCCAGTCAGACTAATAAGCATCTCTCATGCAAAGCTTATCCCCGGGAGCTGTAGATAAACATCTGGAAGGCCAGGAATGTGCCCACCTGCTTTGTGATCAGTATGCTCAGAATTATCATCTGCCTGGGATTAAGCAAGCCCTGCCTCTATCAAGAGATAACTGGATTAGCTTCAAAGGTCTTTTACATTCCTGGCTTTCTCTGCTGGTCTATAATCCTCATGCAAATTACATTTATATTCTTATGATTAGATCTCTTAATGTTACATCCAATCTTTTGAAGTTTTTAAAAATAACATGGCTAGCAAGCGAAAGAGAATCATATGGCACTTGTGAATGAAGTGACACCACTCCACTTGGAATCAGAAGACATGGACTTTGGTTTTTGCCTTGTTCCTGAGTGTGACCGCGGGTTCACTCTCTAACCATCCTAAGCCTTTGTGTCTGTGTACCTACAATGAAAATAGTCCTAAAACGCAGGGAATATTTAATATATACAGAGGATATGTGTGTGTATACACGTGTCATGCAGGTTCAGTGTGCTAAGGAACTGGAAGTATGAGGGCTGGCCGGAAGAATCCTGGCTGCTCTGCTGCTCTCGGGACGTCGGCCTATTGAGTCTGCCAGACAAGAGTGGCTGTGACATGGGGCCAGTCCTTAGCTCGGCCACCACACAGCAAGCAGTGCCCTCAGCAGACAGGGGCGCAGTGCGCCCCGGAGTCGAAGAGGAAGGAAGCTCCAGAGGCGCCATCAAGCCAGCCTTGCTCCCTTACTGACCCTCCTAGGCTTCGGCTTCGCGCTCAGTCTGACAATGGCCACTGGGCATGGGGCGTGTACGGAAATGAGGCATTTGAGACTTCATGCTCAGCGTCCCCCAGGCTTAGCAAGAACTCCAGTCGCGTATATTCAGACTCCCGCATGGGTTAGGGGCCCACTAGAAAACGCCCCCCACGCTCCCGGCTGCTTTCGGCCAAACCCCTTTCCCCACGTTCCATCTCCTCTACATAGAAAGCTAAATAAGGCACTGGATAAAATTAATTACCATAAACTTCTAGCGCTTTCTCTTCCATGATCCGGGGCTGCCGGGCAGCTCCCGGCTCAGAGAGGCCTGAGAGCCGCAGGACTCTGCTCAGCGTCCAGGAGAGCAGCCCGGACACCCGCTCCATCCTCATGCTCCGCCATCCCTGGCGATTGTCCGACTGGAGCCACCGTCTCTCAGCAGCCGGCTTCACGATCCATGAATTTCCTGGGCTTCAAACGGGCCAAAACAAGAAAATAAGTTCAAGAGAGCAAAGAATCAGCGGGTCACGACCGACTAATGTGGAAGACCTAAGGAAGGAAACCAAAAGACTACATGCCCCAGCATGCTTTGTTCAGTTTCGGCGGGACAAGAACGCAATCCTTACGGCTTTTGAGGCGCATTGAATGCTGGGATGTATGAGACCTAGCCCTCATAAGGCAGCGAACTGTATTCTGGGATTTGTAGTCTGATGGGGGGCGGCAGAGGAAAATAACGGTCACTGAGTGCGTCAGTCAACGTCTGAGATAAGCTCAACACGAATCCTGAAGAGGTAAGAAGAAGGAGATCGTGGTGTCTAACATGGAAACGCTATAGTTTTTGTGTAAGGGAAGGGCTTGCAGCCAGAAATCTCCTTACTTCCTGATTAGGCCGGAAGTGGGTTTCCGTTTGAGGGAAGTGGCCAGTCTTGGAAGCCAGTAAGAAGTGTTAAACATGGCAGAAGTGAGAGAAAGGGAGGGGGCTTTTGGTTTTCTTATCGCCTAGGGACTCAGTCCGCACAACTCTCCATTATGGAGAATAGTTCTACCAATTATCTTCAAAGGCAGCGTACAAGTGGAGAACTTTACGTGTGGTCAGGGTGTCTAGTTGGCACAATGGAGATCGCCATCCTAAAAATGGTAATTTAAGGCTTTCGTGTTAGTGGCTCTGAAGAATGTCAGTGATGACATATATGATTGTTTCACAGATCCATCCCTCCAAATCTCAGACATCTATCAGACACTTAATTTGCCATACGTGACCTGTAAGCAACACAGCTACAACGATAGGGGACCCTGCTTCTGCCCTTGAGTTAATCCCAGAACTAGGGGAATAGCATCTGATGCTTAAGATATGCAGTTGGAAACAAACACCCTTTCCATTGTTGGTGACACGTTTTGTTTCTGTAAAAGAGAAAGTCTGGGTTTTGTGGCTCATGCCTGTAATTCCAGCTATTTGGGAGGCTGAGGCAGGAGGACTGCAAGAGTGACCAGCATGGGCCACTTACTGAGACCTTGTCTCAGAACAAAAAGGTTGGGGATATGGCTCTGTAGTACATTGCCCCTAGATCCCCAGTATCAGCCAGTAGCCTCCCAAAGTTAGGATTATACAGAATTACAGAATTACCCTGTGACAGGCAATGAATCATTTAGGTCCACGAAATCTAACGATTTCCCTAATGGAGTACCACTTATTCTACTCCATTTACTCCACACAGTTGAAAGGATAATCCTAACATCCTTCCAAACAAATTTAGTACGCTGAGGTCTCATCCCCTCTGTGAGGCCTCCCGACTTCTTCCAGCAGAATCTCTAGCCTCTTCCACTATTCCAAAGAACACCTCCAGCATTGACATGCTGAGGTGCTTTCCATGACTGACTGCCTCCTTTATTACGCCGCAACACCTCGTGGACCATGTGCATCTCAAGTGCACGGCAAGGTGCCAGGCTCACAGTACGTGCCCAGTGTACATCGAAAGAATTAACTGAATGCAGTCCAGAGCATAAGTGGCCAAACTTTCCTGCAGTGTGTCTGTTCAGATTCCAATCAAAAATATTCCCTGAAACTCCGTGGGGGTACTGTGCTTGGCATGGGTACGTCTTCCAACGTTTTCGGCTTCAGACTCCTCCATTCAAAGGCGAGGTTGGGAGCCGGTTCCATAATAGAGCACAAAGGCACCCCGCAGCCCCTAGCTCCTCCTCCTCTCCCGCTCGGCCCACCTAGTCCGGGGCGCCGCGTCGCGGTTCCGGGCTCTGATTTGCCGGCTGCGGCGAGGCCCCGCCCCCGGCGCCAAGGCCCCGCCCACCGCCCCCTCCGCTCTCCTTCCCGCGGGACCCTCCGCGACTGTAGCTGCCCTAGCGTTCCTCGCACGCTGGAACGTTTTGCTCGCGGCGCTATCTCTTTATAAAGTTGTTGTTGCGGCTTCCGCCGCGGGTGGAGGAAGATGGCGTCGGGTGGTGGTGGCTGTAGCGCTTCGGAGAGACTCCCTCCGCCCTTCCCCGGCCTGGATCCGGAATCTGAGGGTGCTGCGGGGGGCTCAGAACCTGAGGCTGGGGACAGCGACACCGAAGGGGAAGACATTTTCACCGGCGCGGCGGTAGCCGTGAGTTCACATACTCGGGGCGGCAAGCGGGAGAGCGCTCCGAAGAGAAGGGAGGCTAAGCGAGTGTAGGGGGTTCGGGGGAGAAGGCCGGTCGAGAAGCGACCCCGGGGTGGGCAGACCGGGCTGGACCCTGGGTGAGGGCCTAGGGGCAGGGCTAGGCTTCCCGGCCCCCGGGCGGGAAGGGTAAGGAATGAGGGGTGTGGTGACCTCGCTGCTGGCCCCTAGTAGTCTGGAGCCTCCGAGGCTGCCCTTTGGCCCTGCCGTGTGGTCACTCCACGGAATCACGGGGCTGTTTTGCAGGTTGTGGCTTTGCCAGGCTGATTTAAAGTTTTTGGATAAGTGGATGGGGTGCAGACCTTCCTTCTCCTTGCCTTAGGGCTTCTAGGATTAAGAACACTGAGAGTCGCTAGGGTAGTGACCCGCCCACAGAGCTGAGGTCAGCCCAACTCTCAGCCTCTCCTGACCTCTCACTGTCGAGACCCACACTGGATCTTTGTTTATAAAAGTTAGGTGCCTCCTCTGATCTTAGGAGAATCTGGCCAGAAACCCATGTGGAGAAGGCCCTGCCAGATAAATCACTACCAAGACCAGAAAGCTTTTTTCCTTTTAAAGGGATGCTTTAAAATGCACGATATTTCACTGGGATACATTTATAAACTTGAGTCGAAAACGATAGCTCCCAGAGTAAATATCCAGGGTTCTAGTAAGAGAATTAGGTACTGGGGAAGATCATCTTTATATGCGGAATGTGGAACTCAGTAACCATTTATGGAACCAGTGGAGATGTTTCAGCTGTTTTGTGAGGATACTGACTCATCGGATTTGGTACAGTTAGTTCCAGATTGTAAACTTCTTCCGTGCTGGGTCTATGAATTTTTATCTTTTGATCTTAGATATTAGTTCACTCCAGAGCAGCTACTCCGTATCTAAACGCAGCATGCCTCATTTTTGTCCGAACAAAATCGTTTTGGAGATACCGGCTGTGAAAGTCATTAGAATTTGTCTATACTGTATTCAGGAATTAAGTCCACAATCCCAGTTCATAAAGTGCTTGCTGATGCTGCTATAACAGCAAACTGTCTAATGAAGTCTGTTCTGCTGCCACTTTAGTCATTAGGCCATTTTAAACCTTTATGTGATTAATCTCCCACAAGCCATGGAGAAAAGCTGCTGCTGTCACTGCTAGTAGCTAGTCAGACTGAATATCTGAAAATTAAAATTCTGGCACTGAAAGTGATTGTTTATGTAGGCAAATGATTTATTTTCCAAAAAAGAACATTATTTAACAGATGTTATTTTCCAAGTCTTTTATTTGTCCTTAGATTTTGTCCAGGAATACTGAGTGGCTGTGGAAACTCAAATGCTACCTGTAAGCCATTCTCAAACTCTCTGCCCTTGATACTAATCTTCGGGAAGCCAAAATCCACATTCCTCCCTAAACTGTTTTGTTAAACACCCATTAAAAACAGATCACATCTGAAGAAATGCTTTGGTTGTGAGTCAGAGATGATAGGGGACTGGAGTACTTTTGCATTTTACAGAACATGGATTTTTGTTTTGTTTTGTTTACAGAACAGTGAAGAATTAAGTAATTAAGATAGTGGGCTTTGAAGTCTGTTTTTGTTGTTGTTCTCATTTGAGATAGGGTCTTGATTTATAATTCAGGTTGTCCTTGAGCTCACTGTGTAGCTCAGTGATTCTCCTTCCTCAGCCTCCCCTGTGCTGGGATTTCAGGCATATGCCACCACATCCAGCTGAAGTCAGATTTATTTATTTTTAATGTATTCATTACAGGGTCTCACTACACAGATCCGGACTCATAGTGATCCTCCCAAGCACTGGGATTACAGGCTCATTCCATCACACCCAGTCGCAGTCGCAGAGCACACTGGGGATCGAACCCCAGTAGTCCACTGAGCTATCTGGCTGGCCCTTGAAGGCAGATTTAAATCTGGGCTCTATTACTTACTAGTTTTAACTTTTTTGGGAGCGGGGGAGTACCAGAAATTGAACTCAGGACCTTGTGCTTACCAGATAGATGTGCTGCTGAGCTACATCCCCCACCCCTAGTTTAACTCTAAGTCCTCTCTATAGTTTTGTTACCTATGGAGTGAACAATAATAGTGTAGTTGGAGCCTTGCTTCTGTGGATTCAAGCAACCATGGACAGAAAATATTTGGGGAGAAATAACCTCTGTATTTATCATGTGCTGTATATACTTTTATTCCTCCAAACAATATAATATTTTAAAAAACCTACTCATGCCATATTAGGTATTACAATATTCAAATATGAGGATACATGGGGTTATATGAAAATATATATACTACATACAAAAGAATTGCCCAGCCAAAGGAATGGGCAGGGTGGGGCCCTTATTGCAAGAGTTAATTAGGATATCTGTGAGGCACTTAGAAGGGTTCCTTCCACATAATAATCACTTAAAGAGTACTTAACTGCTTTGCATGCTTGAGCTGTATTTGTTGGTGAGCATTTTGGTTTTTGAGACGGGGCCTAGCACTCACTGTAACCCAGGCTGGCCTCAAACTCAGATCCTCCTGCCCCTAGCCTTCCCAGTGCTGGGATTACAGGCATGTGCCACCATTCTTGGCTTGATGAGTATTTTGTAAACTGGAATTTTGGTCTTCTTGAGACTCTGCACTTCCGGCTGGCCTTGAACTCACTTTGTAGAAACTCAGATTCTTCTGCCTCAGCCTCCAGCATGCTGGGATTACAGGTGTAAACCACCACACCCAGCTGGAATTATTTTAATATTTTAGTTGGCTGACTTGTTTTTTATTTATTTTTTGGCAGAACTGGGGATTGAACTCAGGCCTTTGCGCTGGCCAGGGAAGCGCTTATTCCACTGAGCCATCTCCCCGGCCCCTATTTTAAGATTTTAAAGAACTACCAAATTTAATAAATGAATTAGAAAAGTTAACTCTAAAATGGATGGGTTGTTTTTGTTTTGTTTTGTTTTTTAATCAGAATCAGAACCAAC